ACGTAGCTCCTTGCTAAAGCTGGAGGAGGAAAGTGGTGGAAGGCAATGGAAGCAGGGAGTGATGGGGACTCCACAGACCACAAGTGCTTGAAGCAGGAATTAGGAATGAGTCGTGTATCCATCTGGATGGGACAGGTTATTTGATACCAGTGAAATCTACTTGGTGGGCAGCTGGAGATCAGCACAATGCGAAGTCATTCACTCCCTGTCCTTTAGAAGCATGATATTCTGAGTTAACAGGCATGGAAATCTTCCAGAGTACTATACAAAGTGAAATACTCCCTGGACATTGAACTTCAGTATATCCTCTTCTTTTGGGCTATAACATGGCTAATACTTCAAGATGCACTTTGGACCATGAGAGGGCTCAATCTTTTTTTTTTTATTGAAGTATAGTCTGTTACAATGTGCCAATTTCTGGTGTACAGCATAATGCCCCAGTCATACATATATATACACATATGTTTGTTTTCATATTCATTTCATTATTATAAGATTTTGAATATAGTTCCCTGTGCTGTACAGAAGAAATTTTTTATCTATTTTTATATATAGTGGTTAACATTTGCAAATCTCAAACTCCCAAATTTATCCTTTCCCACCCCCTCTCCCCAGGTAACCATAAGATTGTTTACTATGTCTGCGAGTCTTTTTCTGTTTTGTAGATGAGTTCATTAATGTCCTCTTTTTTCTTTTCTTTTCCTTTTATTTTATTTTTTTTTAGATTCCACATATGAATGATACCATATGGTATTTTTCTTTCTCTTTCTGGCTTACTTCATTTAGAATGATGATCTCCAGGTCCATCCATGTTGCTTCAAATGGCATTATTTTAATATTTTTTTAATCACTGAGTAGTATTCCATTGTATAAATACACCACAACTTCTTTATCCAGTCATCTGTCAATGGACATTTAGGTTGTTTCCATGTCTTGGCTATTGCATATAGTGCTGCTATGAACTTTGGGGTGCAACGTATCTTTTCAAATTAGAATTCCCTCGGATGTATGCCCAGGAGTGGGATTACTGGATCATATGTTGTCTATTTTTAGTTTTTTGAGGAATCTCCATACTGTTTTCCATAATGGCTGCAGCAAACTGCATTCCCACCAGCAGTATAGGAGGGTTCTCTTTTCTCCACACCCTCTCCAGCATTTATTGTTTGTGGACTTTTGGATGATGGCCATTCTGACTGCTGTGAGGTAATACCTCATTGTAGTTTTGATTTGCATTTCTCTGACAATCAGCGATATTGAACATTTTCCCTTGAAAGGGCTCAATTTCATCCCTCATCTGGCTAAATCCAGAGCCCTCTAGTGAGTGGTAGTTCTTCTTCATCTTCCCACCAGTCTCCAACCACTGAGGTGCAAAAAGACTTAAAAATTTTTTGATCGAAAAACACAAGACTTTCATGTTATGGAACCCTGCACCATGTAGATGCCCAAGAAGTAAGACCTCATATTCAGGTGCCAGATATTCCAATAGAAGTTTTCCTTAAACGAATTCATATCTCAACAAATGGAAAAAAGTCTTATGTCAGACATTGCCATCACTCAGGTACAAAATGACACAAGTTTTACAATGAAGTTTGTTCGCTAATTGTAAAGGGCAGAACAATGTAATAATAATCCTTTAAACTGGTTTTTAAAAACCTATCCATTTAAACACCACCCCCAAAAAACAACTAATTGAAAACTATTTGAGGCAGAAGCAGCTAGCTTTAAATTCCTCCCCAAGGCTTCCTTGCCTGGTCAATGTCCTTAGGTCTGAGGAGACAGAAAGACTAGAAAGGGTTGTTCAAAAAGGGTCTCTTTGGCATGGTGTCCTCTCTCAACTCTGCTGCCTAGACTGACTTCCTATTTTCAGCAAACTGAAAGTTCCTGGCTAATAATGTCGCAGCATTAAAGTTCTTTCTCCGTTGTGGATTAGCTGCTTTGGATTTGACAGAGTCACCATGGTCTGCTTTATGATTACAGAAGGCAAATTCAGCTGACTGTCACTTCTTGAATTATTCTTTTCACAGGCTCTAGACTGTTGTATAAGAATGGTGTCATCATCAATGGTCAATAAGCTTTTATCGAGTGCCTACTACATGCAAAGATGAGAGTTAAGTATTTGCTCTGAATTTGGTATAGGACTGGGAAGCAGAATGATGCTCCATTCAAGGGAGGGAGGCTGGGTAGTTTATACTCCTGGACCTTGGGACAAATTACCTAACCTCAGTTTCCTGATCAGGGAAATGGGAATAAACTAAACAGAATTTATACGGTTGCATGAAAAGTACACAACATGACAAGTAGTAAACACTCAGTTAATATTAGCTCTTGCTATTACCATCTTAAATTGTTATCATTACTTTGACATGACAGTGAAAGGACACAAGCTTTTCTAAGTGGACTCCCACGGGAGCTGGCAGGGGAGACAGTGTATGGGAATCTGCTGATTTGTTGGAATTTCCTCCTCCTCTACAGCAGTCACTTTTAATTGCCATACGTTGGTGTCCTTAATTGCCTCCTCTGAGAGTACCTGTGTGACACTTCCCTAAAACAAGAGCTGAGTCGCTGCTCAAGCCACAAAACGGCACCTGCTTTTACTCTAGCAGGAGTGATATTTTTATATTACAAAGTTGAGGCCAATAAACAGAAAACAGACAAGTGCTGTTCTCTATGACCTCTCTGAGTAATGGATAATAAAAAAGAAAATGGTGAAAACGGAGAAGAGAGAAACCTAAGGGAACACTTTCCGAGGTTCCAAAGTTAAGGAAAGCAGTTACACAATGGGCTTTTGGGGCAATTTCTGTTTTCACATCTTTGCACATATTCACAAGGTTTTCAGCTGCTCAGCTTCCAGCCCCTTCCCCAACCTCACGGAACTCAGCTGAGCACTAGTGTGACGAAAGCCATTTTCTGCACTTATGGGTCCTTTCATCTTGTGACTCAGAGCACTCCAGTTAACATCACCAAAGAACTTTAAAGAAACAGGAAATAAATTTTTTTAAAAAGACAAAAATTGAATTATGGTTGGATGTGGCAACCACAGTGAAACTTCCCAGTTTGAGAGATTCCTTTTTGATCCATCCAAGGCGACAGAACATGTCCAAGATGAGAGGGCTTCTCTGTGACTGGTCAGGTGGATCGCTGGGTGGCAGTGACTGGGGTGTACTGGAAACTAGGTCACTTGCCCCAAGCTGCCTGAGTCACTGGTGCCACTTTTGAAAAAGGGACGACACTGAACACAGGAAAGCAAGGGAGGAAACATCAAAGACGAGCTGCCGCATTCAACTTTCTTGTTTCACAACCTCACTCAATTCTGTTACCAGGAGTCTAATCCAACCCACTTGTGGATGGCATTATGAGGACAATAAAACTGTTGAAGACTCCGTAAAGGGGACTGATTTTTTTGGACTAAGAAAACATTGTCAGTCAGAAAGCCGTTGTACTAACTGATAGGCATTTTCTCTACCGGGTACTGAGGAGTCAAGCTCTTTTCTTCTTAAATCTCAGATACTGTGGGGTGCCATACCAGTTAATTAATAAATATTTACTGCATATACACCATATACTGGGAAGCCCCACATTGGCAATAAATCATATTTCTGATCAAATAGTTATAGAGCAGATTCTACCAGGGAAAACAAGAAAAAGTCCCTGGAACATAGCATTAATGAAATGTCAATCCATGTTACAAAGTTACAAATAATTTTGTAAGGATTTACCTCATCACAAGCAAAATGTTACACTCTTAGAGCTTCCAACATATAGTCTAGAAAAATTCAGCTACACGGCAGTGGATGGTAATGTTGGCTGAAGCTAAGGATGTCCAGAATTCCTTGTTCCCAATCCAGAGGATCAACTGCTTAACTGCTTAAGTGTAGATGAAGTCTGTAGAAAGATATTTAAATAATATACTGCTTCCTCGTTTCTCTGAATTTCAAAATACTCAGGATTTGACTAACAAACCGGCCATTTTAACAAATGTTTTTCTGTTATATATTAATTATATTCATTCAATCTCTGAGTGAATCCAAGTTTTCTACAGTATGATCATGCTTTAATGTCCACCACCTCCTTCTTTACCATATGGATTGCTTTTCAATAGTTTTCAGTCTGTTGAACTCAAGAGAAGCAAAAGTGACCTCCATCCAGTTTGTGTCTATAATTCCATTCAACAACTGAAATACAATCAATTAATCTGAAATGTACCAGCACTGTGCTTGGTTCAGAATTCACACAATGCTTCACTCAGTCTCACTGAGGAAGCTTAAGATTTTAAACTACATGTATGTCAGGGTACGTTTCCTTATAGTGGCCAAACTGCACATCTGGATCTCTGATATATACCCTGCTCTCTGTTCTGTTGTTAGTCATGACCCTGGGTACCAGAGTCTGTGAAATGAGCAGCAATAGGTCAGACTGGAGAAATTATAGGAAAAGTAGGAATCATAAGAACCATGAGAGAGTCCTGACTGGAAACATTTAAGAACAACTGAATGGAATCTCTACTCTTTGTGAAAGGCTATATTCAACACTAATAGCAAAAAGTCTCCACATGTAGATTTCACCTGCAGATGGCTGAAAAGTGGTTTTCTATGATCCCATAATACTTTATGTAATTATCTGTAATTAAATTAGTACAAGATAAAAATAATCTACTTAAAATAATATAAAGTATTCAAAACTGTTGCTAGGCTAGACAACATTCTTTTTCATAAAAGAAAAGTGTCATACACAATAAAGTGGCAAAAATAGACTGGAGTGAGCTGTGGTGAAGTGTAAATCCTACAGCAATGAAAGTAATTTGTATTATCCTTACTTCTTTGAATAAATTCAGATGACAGCCCTATTTCATTTCTTCATTCACTTTGGAGGCCAGATGGCATTAGAATCATTTACTTCACCTTGTTGTGCTTAATTACTACAATCAACACACTATTTTCCAAATTAATCATAACAAAGTAATTTCATTAGTAACACAGCAGGCTGTTGAATTATTAGCATCATAACAGTTTGCAAACAATTAAACTTTATTTGAACCTTAAAAATTTGCAGAGTGGAACATTATTGTAAGATCTAATGGCAACAGAGTACAAATTCAGTACGGAGCAAATAATCAAGCAAAATGCTATGTAAAATATGACTTACAATCACCTTTGAAAAAAATTAGCTCTCTAACTGTTCATAGAAAAACAAATAAAAGCTAAGCAAACATAATGAGAACATAGCAATTAGCATATTTTCTAACAAGCCATGTTGTTTAAATTCACATTAATGATATTATTATGATCTTGAAGAGCGTGTGATATATTGTCAAGGGTGTAAAGAAAACTTTCTCCCTTATAGTGTACAAATGATTTCACCAAATGAACATAAAGTAATCAAGAGTTGCAAGTACCGAGTGTCATTCTTGTCATGCTAATTTTAAATTGTTTGTTTCCTTTCTCATCTCCCAGCTATAATTCAAGTTAAAAAAAGAACAAAGGCCAGAGGAGATCTGGACAGAAGTTAACACTTTTTTCCTGTATTGTCACCATTCAAAGACACTACCTGGCATCAGTTGGCAAAGGACTCCCTCTCCTGGATTAACTGTAAAAGGAGGCAAAAATCTTCTAAATGCTTTGCGTTCTGGGTTTGCCTGAGTGGGGGAGGGGTTCCAAGTGGACCCCATGCAATGAAAAGCTGCTGCCATCTACTGGCCCAGGACTAAAATCTTCACTTAGACCAGAAGCACGTTAACAAGGAAGCCTACGTTTTCAGTGGAACCCACAACAACTTTTGCTTTTCAATCTCTCAAGCTTTGAAAATCAATCCATGAACTTCATCTCCGGTCGTCTCATTTTTGCCAAGATGATTGCAATCTGTTGCGAAAGCTCTATATTAGGAGAAGATTAACAAGTGCACAAATTAATTTCTGAAAGCTTTAACTTGACAACATCTAATTTATATAAAGTAGAATTTACCCACAATCTCTAAAATTAGTATTTTTTTTACATTTGAAATCAGATGATCATAGTATGGAGGGGATAACAGTAAAATATAAACTCTGAAATACTGCTTGGAGATACTTTTTATTAAATAACGGGGGTTTTTAAATATTATCAGCTCATTTGCATGATTAGAATCTTTACTTCTAAAGCAAGGATCTGAAAAGATCAACAAATGTAGTAGCTTCAAATCAATGATTCAGTATTATCAGATTATATCTACTCCAAACAATTAACCAATCAGCAGTATATTTTGATATATATTAAGGCTATACTGGTACGTATACTGGTAGGCACTGAAAATACCTTTGACTTCAAACAGACATGAAAAAGTAATAATATAACTCCACACATTTCACTCTGGCAGTACAGTGCATGCCTCCAGTGTCAGGCTAACGCTACCCATCCACTCACCTTTCGGTACATGTTTTCCCTGTGATTTCTACATTCTCCTCTCTGAGCCTTCCTTCTCTTTTCATTGCTGTGAAAAGTGTAGAGGAGGCTCAAAGCTAGAGTTGCACTGTTTTACAGTGGGACTTTAATAGCACACTAATGATCAGGCAGGGTGGGAGACTGCTCGGTTACGCCCTCTGACTTTGAGAATCCATTGAGATTCTTTATGCCATTGTATTAGTGGCAGAATGAGGCCCCTCATAATTTATTTATTTTATTAAATTTAAAGAAAACTATGGTAGAAAACAGTGGCAAGCCCTTTATGTAAGCAGGGTATTTGTTACATGGCAAAGGGCTTTGCACAAACTGTGGTTCTGGTGTGCACCTGTATAGCAGAAGGCGATGGCATACTCCCACTTGCAATTCTGTCATCCTTCTTTCTTGTGACCACATTTAACATAAAGTGCATTCACCAATCAGTAAAAATTCTGTCATGAAAATGTGTTACTATTGTGGGAAAATTAATATTAAGATAACACATCTGCAAAGTTTTAACAAAGCTACATTCTTTAGACAGCATCTACCAAAAACCTGCATGATACATTCACTTGAAATTTTTATGAAATTACATATTATTGTCTAAAAAATAACTGACATCTTGTATTAGGAGAAATTACAACTCATACCAGAAGGAGCAACGACTGTATAATACATATAAAATAGTGCTGAATTCTTCATACAAATCAAATCAGTAGATAAAAACTATGATGATTTCTTTGCAAAACAGCAACAGGTATACCTTTATTGCTTGCATCTAATTTACATTAATATCCTTCATTTAATTTCACATCAGAGGAATATTATAATGAATGCATAAAACAGTCAAAAGGCAAATGATGTTCAACACAACAAAGAAAGGTTATGAGCTGTCACTCCTGCTTTCACGATGATTCTCAATCCAAGCATTTGCAGACCAGCAGAGGAAACTTCCTTTTCTGCAAGCAGACAGGGAAAGCTGCATTTTAATTTTTTTCTTCAGTCAAAATGTTGATTTTTCCCTGCTTAGAAAAAATTACATTTTTAGCCAAGGAAAAACAATGATTGTTTACTCAACATTTTGTCAATTCACCTCCTCAGAAAGGCCATAAAAGCGGTTTTACTAAAGAGGAGGAGGTTTGGGAAAACAGCTGGTTATTATCAAAGGGACTTTCTCTAAATAAATCTATTTATTTCCAAAGTAAATTCTATGAAGTTATTTTTAAAACTAAACCATTTTTTACTTTAAAGAAGATGATTTGGGAGCATAACCTTTGTGTTATCAGAAAACTACAAAGACTTCTAAGAAGGCAAAGACTCACAACGCAGAGACCAAGAGAACATATGAGCTATTACAGAATATTGGATTAAAATGTACTTACCCAGGACTCTCAAATATCATACATCTCCATTATGTAGGCTTTCGGCACCAAGCCAATGGCTCCCTTCATTTCTCCTACCCACCAGCCATATCTATTGTATTCCTAATTGAAAACAATATGCAATATTAACCTTTAGACTGGTGTAAGTACAATGTCGTTTGTATGCAACTTCTCAGAAATGTTATTTTTTTTATAAAGTTGTAAGAGCTTGAGATGCAAATTGAAACACTTTAATCTTTTTTTTTGTTTCTGGACACTTTAAAAATGCTGTTAGGCAAAGATTTAAATTAACGTATAAGACAAAGCCTGTTTATTTCACGGTGTAGAACACAGAAACAGTCACTTAGGGTAAGAACCTGGCAAATAAAACTGCATAAGGAAGTCGGCTCCCTGGGCCCCTTTCTCTCTCTCTCTCTCTCACACACATACACACACACACACACACACAGCCCGGGGAACACCTTTCTATACGCAAACACCAGTGCTAGAGACTACAAGATCAGAGCCAGGATCCTTAGGTTACGATCTTTGCCTTCAAGGAGCTTATCATCTAGCAAGGATAGAATGATTTTGTCTACAATAAACTACTTAATTCCTAGTTAAACTCATACAATGAAAAATTATTTGGAATGTAGAGGTATGCCGCTTCATGGGAAAACCCAATGTATGAGTATAGATATTTAGACAGATAAATTACAGAATAAGGCAACACTAAAAAATACGTCCCAGAATTGACTTTCCAAAATAATTCACAAAGGGGCTCCTTTTCAGCCCCATAGGCATTTATTGTTCCTCATATTGATCACGAACTACATTAGATAAAGGAAGAGTAGAAGGAATTCAAAGGTGGTATTAGATTCACCCTTACAGGGGAAGATCAATAGGAAATAAAAGTACCTCAAGTTATAAAGGCAAAATATTAATCTGGCTGTAAAACAGAGTGATTGATGAGTCACTTTTGCGTCTACGTTGCAGTGTGAGATAAACCTGGGCCTCCTTTTCTTCCCTTTGCCTCCACTGACAGACACACCACTGCTCTAGGCATCGTGAACAGAGGAACCGGTCTCATTTGTCTGCCAGACTGACTAATGTATTTTTATCGCAAATTTATTTATGTTTAGTGAGATACAAACAAAGTAAAATGAATTACAAGTTTCAAGAATAATATCTTCCAAAAGCAATCCTCTGAAAAAGCATTGTAGGACCCAAATTTAATTTTTCATATAAGATAAATTTTTAAAATCAATCCTCAAAGTAATTCAATAGGCTATGATTTCCAACATCTGAGTCATAGATAAATGTGCATATGCATATTGAGTTACATGTGGGGAGGGGATGTTAATACCAGCACAGACTTAACATTTGCATTGATTACTAACTATGCTATTGACCATCCAAAAGGAAAATTATACAATTCCTCCATACAAATGTAGCCACATTCCCATGTGTGTACCGATGTGTAGTCTATCAACAGAGAGATTATAGGATTAAAATCTGTAAGTGCTTTTTTAACAATGTGATGGATCAGGCATATTACTTACAATAAAGTAAGAAAAAGATAGAAGGAAAAGAGGGAGAAGTCCTAATTCTAATGAGGGCACAGCTCTGGCTTATGAGGCGGTGGACTCAAGCTTTTAAGCTGAAAAGTTCACCGAGAGTGTGAACTTAATGGACAAAACTCTTTAAACAATGGAAACAGTCTGATGCCCAGAACGCAATGATGATGACTATAGTCTGTGTAGAATTATATTTATCAGAAGAAAATACTGAGAGCTATGATTAGCAACCATTATATCCTAACAGGTACCTAATAAAACTGCCCTTTTCAATTTTTAAGGCAATGAATACAATTAAGAGTCTAAATGCTTAACAAAACAAATGTATTTTACCTTGCACAGGCCAAAGGCCTACAGTGTAAGATTTCAAAACGGATAGTTAACAGAGTAAGCCTTGGTGTGAAAGCTCTTACCCAATGCCAATCTAAGATTCTTTTTTCAACTGATTATTTAGAAGGAGTAAAGGAACTAGCCCCCTACAGGGTAGAAACAGAAAACAGAACACATTCGGTGAGAAGGCATAGCCTGACTCACACCTGCTTTCAGAGAACAGCCTGCCATCTGAGTTTCAATGTTCAGATTCAAATTACAAACCAGAAAATTCATATTACTTTATAATATTCTGCTTTGATTATAATCTGTACTCTCAATTAAGATCATATTACCGTTCTCAAAAATCTCATTCACGTCCAAATTTGAGAAACTGATTTCCAGCAAATAGCTTCAACAAAGAACCAATGACATACTTCACACATGATAGGATTTTGCATGACAGTAACTGATAAGATTCATTAGACAGAAAGTACAGTAGCAAATAGCAGAGGAGTTTATTCAGCCGTAAACAAATCCCTTAAAAGTAACATTCTAGGAAAAAATTAAGTTTTAGATTAAAGTCATCTGAAATGCTTCACTTAATTAATTTAAAATAATTGAAAAGCATATGAAATACATACCTCATAAAAGTACTCTAAAATATCACAGGTTTAAATCAGAAAAGAGTAAAAATAAAAAAATCCCACAATGTTTATTACTTTACATTTGTAAAGAACTCCTTACAGCACTCCTGTGCGGAATTAAGAGGTAAGATAAAATACAGTGAGGTAAAAATCCAGTAGGCAAATTTATGGATTTACACTGCAGCCGTTAGAGTACGTCGGCAAGACTGCAGACACAGAAGCTTTTACTTTTATCATTACCATCCTCTCTATGAGCCTCCTGAGCGACATGAATCCCAATTAAACCATTTGTAGCCTATAAATTGGACTGAAGATGCTTCTTGGAGTACAGTGTTCTAAACTTCAGCCTGAACATTCAATAGAATACAAGGTTTCCTTTGGAGGAAGAAAATCTGCCTTTCTTTGCCTTCCCTGTTTGCTGCCCGGACAAGTGTGATCATGAATGATATGTTACTTACAGTGGAAAATAATGCAATCCATACAGTGTCGTCTTGCTGTCCATATACTAATTGCAGTACTGGTCTAAAAGTCACAGGTGGGTCATTAGGAAAAAAAACCACCCTCCAACCTTATCTTGCTAATAAACAAAAAAGAAAGAGACACAACCATACCAGGCTGCCTCCTAAATCTCTGAAAGGTTAGGAAGCATCATGTCATCTCGATGGCACACGAGATCTCAGGTACAAGAAGGTCTGCCATCTGGTATCCTTCACCCTCTGCGGCTCTTAACTGCAACTGAAATGCTAACACAGGCAAGTGACTGTACTTCAGGAGGACTGATAAAATAATGAAGAGTCCTTTAATCTACAGGAAACCATTCTAGTCAATTTATAAGAAATATTGCATCCCTTTGTAGGACGTGTAATTATTTTCTATTAATCATGTGCTATAAAGCTACATTATGCGGTTATTCTGTTATCACTAGAAAGAGGCCTGCAGTCAGCTTCTGACAATGTTAGGTAATTACTAACACAAAGCTTCTTTCTCCTCCTGTAGTAATGCTATCAAGATCCAGAGGTGTAGTGCTGCTTACTGTATAAAAATAGTACTCAGAAGAAATTCAATATCTGCAAAATGGATGGCTTCAAGGCAAAATGTAATGTGGCAGTCAGAGAAGCAAAAAGCCAAACTTGTCCAATAATTTGAGAAAACGATCGTAAAGCAGCACCGAACAGCTGTGATTTAACTCCTCTGTTTTCAACTTTCATATCATTAAAATAGTTTTTATTTATTTTGTAGTTAAAGTTTTAGGCCTCAATTAATCATTATTAAGCAATAAATTAAAGTGATTATGTAATAAGGCAGGAAAAATGGACTCGTTTTGATGAAGTGAAACAGAGACTTTATCCAACACAATAGCAAACATATGTCCATGTTTACTCATTAACTAAATCTTCTCTCTCTGCCAGGGTATTATTTTACACTTATATAAGGCCCCAATATTTACTTAAATCCTTTGCAGCACCATGATTCTCATTTCTTAAGTATGTTTATCCACTTTCTACAAACCATATGGTAAAAGAATGCTGCCTTAACAGAAATTTGAAACATTAATAAGATTTTGTGGTGTACCACCCCTTTCAGAAAGTACTTACCAATCTTTCTGAAGGCAACAGGTGTTAGAAAGGTTAAAAGTCTGTAATTCCTTTCTCTAAACATGTATCTGTGCTTCAAAGCCTTGTGCAGAAATAAAGGTAATTTTATTCACAAAATATAAACTGCATTGAGTTTCAGGACCAGTGGACTTTACCATTGTTTCCCAACTATTCACTGTGATATTTTCAATTTTTCAAATTGTTCACAAACACTGTAGTAGTATGGAAACTAGATAACAATTTAAAATATGGAAATACTTTCTTCAAGGCTACCTCGTCAATCTCTTCTTTCTTACTATCTCCAATCTGAAACTTTTTAAGAATCATTTCTCATACATCCATCATTTCAAAGTTTCTCTTAAAATGCAGTTTCTCTTAAAGGAACTTGACAACCTCAGTGTTTTATCATTATTACCTACATGTTAACTGCTTGAACCTTAGTCTCCTGAACTGTTAAATAAGGAAATGGACACTAACAATTCCTAAGGTCCTGAGGTCCTCCATGATGTTTGAACACCACCATTCTGGAAGCTGCTTTAAGGCCTTAAGTCTCTTAACAGCTTATGGAAATCAACCTCATTACTTTAGAATTTACTGTGCAGGTATGTCTTTGAGTTATTCTAATTTGGAGAATTACTATTTTTTTCCTCTGGGCACTGCACACTCCATTTTTAAAGCATGAGAGACAAGGGACAAATAAGGAAGGTGATGGTAAGAACTTAATTCCCATAACAAATTTTAGTTTATGGTACAGAGTCAAGACACATTTAGTTCAAATTTCTACACAGTCAGCATTATAGTGCCACAAAGTGAAAACTGATATTCAGACTGAAGATTCAGATACTGCTAAGCAAAGAAAGATCAAATCATGCTCAGTAGAGGGGGGCTGCGGTACACAACGTGTTTCACCAGCCAATACGCGACTCTATTAACTGTTCTGTCGCTGCTCTAGTTCAGGCCTTCATCGCCTCACCCTGGATGATTGCACCATCAGC